CATCCTGTGTGGGGCTGTGCTCTGTCCAAGAGCTTTTGCTGCCCAATCATGCAGTTGGATCCAAAACTCTTTCACTATCAGTCTACTGGACACTGCAAAGGGCCTGAAAAGAGAAGACATTTTTATATGGACATGTTTAAAGTTAGGGGTCGCCAGGCTGAGGGTTGGAGGGCGGGGACATAGGGGGCATGCTACCAACATCAACAACATCACTACAATGGGTAGCTCTAGGAATTGCCGTAAAACCATAGAATGTCTGGCGATTACTAGAGCTACCCATTGCCACTTTTGGGTTGTCCTGGAAATGACATACAGGCACAAAGGCCGGCGACATTTTCCCTCCATTTTTCTCTGGAGGAGGACAACAGGGGCAATTAGTGCCTTAGAAGGAGGCCTGGCAACCTTGCATAGAATCTTTCAGCTATTAAGCTTCAGCAAGGAACGTACCTGGGGATGTGGAATGGTATGGTATAGCCCAGTCTCATCAGATATCAGACGATAACTATGCTCGGTACTTGGATGGGAGACCACCAAGGAAGGCTCTGCAGAGGAAGGCAAAGGCAAACCACCTCTGCTTCTCCCTTGCCTTGGAAGCCCCTTGCCGGGGTCGCCCTAACTCAGTGATGACTTGATGGCACACACATACATGCTGTCAGGGTAAAACCAGCCTCTTTGCTCCATTTCAGTCAAGCTTCCCCCTTCTGACACCCACACTATTGCAATCTGCAGATCAGTGCCTCTGGGAATGCTGTGCTCAATTCCAACCAGTTTTTGTCAAGCGTGTTCAAAGTTCCTTGTTGCCACTGCTGCACGTCTAGGGATAGAGCCCAGGACTACTCAGCCAGGAGGTACAGCCAGCGAGCAGGAAGGTGACAGTAGGCCCTGCCTATTGCCTCTTTGACTTCTGTTCCATCCACCGGCCCTTTCAAAGTTCTCGGTAATCCTCAACAGCATGATAAAAAGTAGAGACATCACCCTGCCAACAAAAGTCCGCATGGTCAATGCAATGGTATTCCCAGTAGTCATGTATCAAATGTGTGTGAAGGCAGCTGGCAGCAAGTATTTGGCTTATGCCCGGCACAAAAGCACAAGTTAATACAAATGGATGATCTTTCTGCTTGCGTTGAGTAATTGTCATGTTACATTCAACACACGTCCAGCTGATCGTGTGATACAACCTCCCACGTTTATCCAGCTCTTAGTCCCCAGTTTCATCTGTAAAGCATCAGCTGTTTCTTACAAATAGATGTACACATCTACATGCAGGGCGTACATGCGTGCCCTGTAACATTTAAACAGGACGTAGAGAATCCAACCTCTCTGGGAGTGAAAAGCTGGTTTCCTTCCCCACTGGCACATCTAGGCTGCAGTCACACTTTCAGTACACTTTCCAACTGGATTTTACTGTGTGAACTGGCAAAATCCAGTTGGAAAGTGCACTGAAAGTGGATTGAAAGTGGATTATTTTATGTGTGTGTGACCGCAGCCCTAGAAAACATGGAGAGGGGGAGGTTTGGCATCTTGTCCCCCGTATACAGTGGGGGAAAGTCAGACACTGTTGAGACAGATTTCTGCCACTTCTGACCTGCTGCAGACTCATGACAAAGTGAAGGACATACTTCACATTTCCTTCAGATTCTCTGGGTGTTTATACTGGAGGACTCGTCGGGTAAGGCAGGGCAACAATGACCACAAGGGAGAACTGACTACAAACTAAGTCCTGCCAAATGTTGCCGATCCCTGGTTATTAACAGTTTAATCAGCCTACTATATGTTACATGTATAACCTGCCTTCCCCCCCCATCATGGAGCTCAAAATGGCACCCATAAGGTTTGCTTTCCCCATTTGGGCTAGCGTTGCCACGCTTGCAATTCCCAGGAGCTGTTGGGGCTGACCTAGAGAAGAGGACACGTTGTTAATGCTGTGACATCACTGCCACCACTGTGACACCATAGGAATTTTCCACCTCTATGGGTCAAGACATTGGGTCAGTTCCTACAGTGTTGCAGAGGGGCGAGGTGTTACTTCTGAATGATCCTGCTGAAGTATACCTGTGGTAGTCAATTGTGCCACAATGATGGCTTCAAAGAACCATCCCTTCTAATTTATAGAAGTTACTGTGCCTGATCACCCGGAGTCAATCCATAGTCACCGCAGGCGACCCGATGAGCAGCCCTCTATAAACCAGCCCTGCACTGAATCATATTCTGGAATCGCAAACATCTGCCACATTTTCTCCCACAAAGACAACCACAAGTATGAGTCCCTCTTAAAGAGCAAGAAAAAGGCCACTGTTCATTTGAACCTACTGGCTTATTTCAATGTATGAAAAAATATATATATTTTAAAAAAATAGCACTGTGGTTCACCAACAGTTTTCAAATCCACAGAATTAACTCTGATTGGTGGCATGTTCATTGTCGGGAGGCATATGGCAAACTGTTCTATCATAGGGACTGCTTGACTATGAGGCCAGAGTGACATGAATCACTTCATCTATGATTATTAGCATTTTAAATAGAACTTTCAGTGTCCAAAGTACAATCAGCGGTGGGCAGCTAATTTAATGGCAGATTAATGGGAAATGGGCTGAACTGAGTCTAGTGAACATATCCAATGGCCAAGTAGCAGATGATGGCAGGGTTAGAACCAGCAACCTTTGTATCTGTGCTCTGTTACTCCATGTAGCAAATCTACCCAGGATTAGAGGGCAGAACATTCCTTAGGCCAGAGGTCCCCAAAGTGGTATCTGTGGGTGTCATGGCAATCATTGTCACTTTTGTGGTGTCTGCTAAGTGTTTTTAGGAAGTGGGTGGGGTCAGATGGGGTTTTTAAATGTTGCTTTGGTGGCAACTACCACCACAGCACAAGGATCTTCACTGTGTGACTGAAGGTAAGCTGCGGCAGCCATTTTGTGGCTGGCTGGACCTCCCATGGCAGCCATTTTGTGGCAGTCATTTTTAGCTACACCCAGCACACTGTATCAGAATTCCAAAGGTATCCTCAGGCTCAAAAAGGTTGGGGACTCCCGCCTTAGGCTATAATGTCTCCTTAGGTTTCACCTACCCAGAGAGCTCATTTGTTTCCACTGACCAGGAAGGGTTTCAGAGGCTTCCAGGCTACGCATGGTTTCGACCTAGACAACAGCCAACCTTAAGGACATCTGCCCTGGGGCTTGCCTCTTTAAGGACTTGCTTTATTTTCTGTAGTGCTGTTTTTCCTCTCAGGACCCAGTAAGGAAGATTTTAAATTTCTCATCCCTGTTGTTCTAACCTCCCCTAAACTCCTATTTCAACTGGTCTTCTGCCGTGTGTGAATTTAACCCATGATTTGTTATTTTCACTCAGTTTTCAACTTCTCTCTATCGAATTTCCCCCATAAAATTGTGTACATAACATTGTGTACATTCATTTTATGTGACTATTCACTGGGTAAGAAACCCCTCCCCCCCAAAAAAACAGAAACCTACAACAAAAATGCACAATGGAAGATAGGAGGCTAATAAATATTTTAAATAATTTCTAAAAATAATTTTTAAATAATTTCTTTTCCCCAAAAAACCAGCAGCAAAACAGAATCCAAAACTATTGAAAAAATCCCTACCAAGAATGCAGAGACTCAATGTGGTACAGGGGTTTGAATGTCACACTAGGATCCAGCAGATCCCCACTCAAATTTAAACTCTGCCTAGGGCCAAACGCTCTCTCAGTCTAACCTGCTTCACAAGATTGTTTTTGTGAGGATAAAATGCAGATGGACAGAGAAGTGTTTATGCTTCTCTGAGCTCTTTGGACAAAAGCCAGGGTAAAAACAGAACAAATAAATGAATTAATATCAAATAATTGGTCCAGGGAATGTTGGTCATCCATAAAACCCCAGGGACACGTTTCATCCACTTTCCATCTTGCCAGCTCTCTGGGGCTTCCGACGGCCGAGCATCCTGACATACAGCCAGTTTGGGGCCACACAAATCAATCTGAACTCTTAAATCACCAGGAAGCGATGTTGTATTTAAATATATCTGCATAATCTCAGAAACTTAATCTGGGTACCTTTCTGAAATACTGAAGGAAGTCCAGGAATGCATACTTTTAATAAACAAAAGAACTAGTTAAAAGAAAAGGCTATGGTTAATCTTTTCCTGCTCCGTTGCAGATAGTGGAACAAGCCAGACCGAGAATAACTTTGTGAAAGAAACACATGTGTGCTTTGAACTCTCAGCTCCTTGGATTAAAGTCAGCCCTCAACAATTTATCTGAAACTTTTCAGTGATTCGACTGTCAATTAAGGTTGCAAATCTATGCACACTCGGTGGAGAGAAAGCCCAATAAAACACGCTGGAATTTACTGTGGAATAAAAGACACAGTGCTGGGGTTGTGTTGCTTGCATCTCAAGTGCACAAACTGGATTTCTAGACTCCATCAAAGCGTTCTGTGCAACTCCGAAGCCCGCATATTCCCAAACAAACAGAAGTCAGCTCCATGAAGACAGTGCCTAACTGTCTCTGATTCCCCGGGAGGAAGATGGCGACCACCGCGCACCTCTGCCAATTTTGTCGTGAAGAACAGCAAGGGCCTGCGTCACGATAACTGCAAGACACCGAAATGGATGACTCGGATGTCCATTCTGCACGCCGTGCCATTTAAGCGCCGATTAACAACCTAAGGCCTTGCACGTCCGAGCGACTGCCCTGCGATCTTCACTGACAGGGTTGTGGGCAAGGGTCAGCACGGCAGACCCCTGTCAATTAGCCCGGTGAGGGAAACATCCTCCGGCAGCCAGGCGTCTGGCTGAAGCATCTGTGCCTAAGGGCTTTGATGGGGGGGGATACAAAGGAGAGAGGAAAGGAAGGCAATCTGGAACCCATAAGCTCCCTTGATGTTTGCATTATTGTGAACGGTTGTATTGGCCTGCGCATGGCCCCTCCTCCAGCACTACTTACCCTATCCGTTCAGGGCATTAACAAACTTTTTTCTTTTTTTTTAAATGTCCCTCCTCTCTTTAGCCCTAACGTAAGGAGGGGCGGTGAATAAGCAGATCTTTGAAGGCCGGGAAAGTTCAGAAAGCTCCTGAAGCCCCTGCAGTGCCCACTGCTGAAGAGTTCCATCCCTGAGAGTCCTCGGCGTCAAAGCCTCAGGTTGTCTTGCTCGGATGCACTGTGGCCTATCCGGTCCACGTTCCGGCACCCGGCGAGAAGGGAGGGAAGCCAGTCTGCCGACGATGAAAGAGGAAAGCATGTGCCCAGATTCACCGGAAGGCAGCCTGGTCACCAGCGATGAAGAAAGCGAGAGGTTGCCCAAGAAGGGTCTTCGCAAGAGGAGCCAGCTGGGCAAGCCGCAGACTTCTTCGGCACCGCGGGAGTGCAGCACTCCTTCCCCACAGGGTAAGCGCAGCAAGCGTAGCCCCGTGCCACAGACCTTTGAGGACATGCACACGCAGCGGGTGATCGCCAACGTGCGGGAGCGCCAGCGCACCCAGTCACTGAACGACGCCTTTGCCGAACTCCGCAAAATCATCCCCACGCTGCCTTCCGACAAACTCAGCAAGATCCAAACGCTCAAGCTGGCCGCCCGCTACATCGACTTCCTCTACCAGGTCCTCCAGAGCGATGAGCTGGACCACAAGATCACCAGCTGCAACTACCTGGCCCACGAGAGGCTCAGCTATGCCTTCTCAGTCTGGAGGATGGAAGGGGCATGGTCCATGTCAGCATCCCACTGAGATCCGGTTGGAAGGTATGTTTGGCTGGCAGCCCTTCTGCCTACTCTCTCCAATGCAATGCTTCCTCATTAGATTTGAAAACGGTAGCAGAGCTCCACAAGGGTTTTAGCGACAGACCATGTTTTCCAGGGCAGGACTCGGTTCTGGAAATGTTTAAAATAGTCGAGAATACGAGGGGTCGATTTAGGGCATGAGCAGAATGCCTTTTCATCATCAGTGAGTCATCACAAAGAGCCGCAAGGCATCTGGGATTAGGAGTGAGGGATTCCAAGTTTTCACGTATAACGTGAAATCCAGACAATTTTTAGCCGCAAAGAGATCATCGTAAAAGAGTCAAAAGTCGTACGATAGCGGGGCCGTTACCATAAGGGGGTACACACTCATTTCTTTTTGTCAGACAGTTGCCTCTGGTTAAGCAGATTTTTCAGGACTACAAAAAATACTTACAAAGCCTACTTACTGGGAGAAGGCGGTGTGTTGAGTATACATGTCTCTGTTATACCACTCTTCAGGGCCCGGGGGGACGCTATAATTTGTCCACAAATTGCATCGAACACAATAAAACAACGACCTCAAGCCTGCAGACATACTCGGTATTTTATTTCAAATAGGCCTGGGTTTTACCCGAAGCAGAGCTGTATTTGGTTTTTAGCAGTCACGCCATCACATGTGGCAGGTAGAACAAAGCGAGTGATACTTCTCAGCAGTCACGCCATCACATGTGGCAGGTAGAACAGGCGAGTGATACTTCTCAGCCGTAAAATACCCTTTTTGACCAGTCAGTCTGCCTGTCAGCTTTGTATTTTTTTACTTGTTTGCTAAGACCAATCACCAATAACATGCAATGGATATCCCCCCCCCTCCGAATATGTGTATGCTTATATAATCCTTATAAAGTAGGCCAGGGGAATTTTCATAAGTAAAACATTGTATTTAATGGCTCTGACACAAACAAAAAACTTGCGATGGCTGCCTTGTATGTTTGGTTTCTCTTCTATATTCTCCCCTGCATCAGTGGCATTTATATAGGGTAGAAACAGCATGGCGAACACTGAAATTTGTTTTGCAGTGCTTCTTGCGAAAAGTGGAAGATGGCAGTTATCTTTCACCCTTACGGTGTTTCTGTAAGAAAGGCCAGTGTTAGTCCCATTTGATAGATGTGGAATGGAGGCTGTGGGCATAGCAGCCTTCCAAAAGCCACCGAATAGTCTCATGCTAGCTGGGTTATCCTCCCATTTCCCCGGGATCTCAACCTTGCCCACTGGATAATACTGGCACAATGGATTAGCGCAAACAAATGACCGATGATGTTTTCTTCTCTCGTAACAGAGATCCTCCAGACTTTAAAAACACATATTCAGCATTATATCACGGGAGCAGTGATCACCTCTGGCTCCATACATGTAACCCCCATTAGACTTCAAGTTTCAGTTATAAGCACATATGGTTGCTGTTAGGGATGCTATCCATTTTTGCTCCACTGAACTTTCTTTGCTGTGACTAAATAGGATGGCCAGTCAACAGTTAATATTATTACCTGATAATATTATTGTCAGGACCATTTAAAAAAAAAGGCAATGAAAGGATGTGGGATTTTATGGCCAGTTAAGTCAATTGCATGTGTAACGGGCAGCAATGATTCAGATCTGCACTGTACTGCTTCGAAGAGTGTGTTTTTGTACGGGAAATATATACAAATGTAGTACATCTGCTGACTCCCATGAGGCTGACTCTAGGATGGAGTCATGTCAAGGACCAGCATTTAGAGTGGTCAGATGCTAGGAATTGTAAACAGAGGGTGGGATACAGGACACAGGGAAGAGCAGTCACATAGTTATGAAAGATAAGGTAGAACTTGTGTTTTGTGTACTGTCTAATCAGACCCTATAATTATACAAATCTGCACTGAGAAAACACCATACTTGTTTTTCCGGGTAAGTATCCTGAGCATGCGATGCCAGCATGCAGAGAAGTGGAAATAAAAGGGCAGGTTTTATACTTTTCTTGTTAGTTTCCAGGTTCAGATCCTGACAAAACAGCTGTGAAAAGGGAGCATTTCCTTTGATGCAGTTTCCTGGTCACACTGTCATAATACTGAAGGGATAAATTACACCTGGCGGAATTTCCCTGTTCTTTACAAGGTACAGAAGTGTCTGTTCATTGCTACCTTCATATAGCTACAGTTTTTCAGGGCATTTTATACACACATTAAGCAACGCTCTATATCATGCCATTAAAAAAAAAAAAGACCTGGAAGATTTCACACTTGCTATGTTCTATGTTCAGAAAACTTGATTCCAGCAGCCTGTGATGCAAGTTAAGCACATTTCATCGATTCCTTTGCTAGTGCCTGATTTATTCTGGAAGTTTTAGTAATTTGCATAATTTATTCTGATTCTGCTAATCATCATGTGAAGAACGAAGAAATTATTACCAGGCATTGTGAATCTTATTCGGCAAGCGAATATTCACAACTGCAATGGCTAGGAGGGTGTTCGCTTAAAAACAAACAGGGAAGCTGAGATTCTGCACTTTACTCCCACAATTATTTAAAAGGAAGCAAGTCCCACTGAATTCTATGATACATTCCAATTCGAGTGTACATAGACTTGAGTCTCAGCAGACAAAATTTTTCCAGGCTATACCATAGTCTAAAGTTTTTCTTGTGCAGAAGCAGCATTAACATCAAAAAATCTTAAATTTTTATTTTGTGTTTAACATGTTGGGCTGGTGTGCTTGGCAGTGATACATTTCCAGTACAAATTATATTACATTAATTTGTATTGTTAATTTGAATTGACAGCTGAAACCATTTCAAATCAATTCTCAACTCTAAATCTTGCCTTTAAAAAAATTCACCCTTGCCCTTTCAAAAAGGTCAATGAGACAGATCAGGTGGGTTCTACAAACAAGGGGCCATCGCCAAAAATATCAACCTTACCTCCAAGGGAGGTAGCATCTGTGAAAAGTGGCATGCAAAGACCTCAGACTTTCAACATATACTCGGTAAAAAGAGATGAAAAACCAGGAATTTATTCACAAACTAGGCTGTGTCAATCAAGGCTGAAACAGAAACCACAGGGCTTTTCCCCCTTACACTATAACAACACAGAGTGATACTGTACTTTTACCTTTAGATTCCCCATGTATAATTCTTACTGAAATATTCTACCAACTTATTCCCTGTCTTGTAGCTCACAATTCTCCTAGCATCTGTTGAAGTAGTTGGTAACCTGCAAAAACACTGTCTCTGTAAAAAAAAACAATTTAAACCTATATTTTCTTAATATTACTTCCTGACTAGTGTATCCTATTCATTGCTGGCAGGGAACTGGGAAGACTGAGGTGGAGAGAATGGTGACCACTCACTTGTACTGCTTTAGGCAACACAGTGCCGGGGAAAAAGGAGAACCTTTCAGACCAGTCTCTGACCTCTTTTCCTCTGGCCATCCTTCTCTCCCATGGGATGATTGACCCACAGTCTTTCCTGATGCCCTCTTGGCCTCCCCCAGGTTTGCCCATTTCCGTATGCCGGGAAGCCATTCTCTGCTATAGGAGGAAGGGGAAATGCAGACCTCACCAACCCAGGACCCCCTTTCTTTTGACCTCGACCCTCAGGCTGTGATTAGGTTAGCTCACACACTGATAGGTCAGGAGGGTAACAACCCTTGGTATGGGCTGTTTGATGAGGGGCTCCCTGGCAGTATCTCCTGCAATGACAACTAACATGAAGCAGTGAATGAGGACCTACGCAGAGTTACTTTTTGCCAATGTTTTGCAGATATGGGTGGCTCGTACTTCTTGGTATCTTGACAAAGATAATGGGTGTCATCCAATCAGCACATTTGAGTTGCGGAATGTTCAGTACCGACAAATGTACTGTGGCATGCATCTGTCATCAGCCAAACAAATGCAGGAAGTGTAACTTTCAGTGGGCAGATACGAAAAGGGGGGAAAGGAAGTCAATGGCATTGCAAAAGTAATCAGGATTGTGCCTCGTGTATAAGCGATAGACTTTAGCTCTAAGATCCGTGTGTTAAAATGAATTCTTGAGTCAGTAGCGGCGAATGTCAATTGTTTTAATTGCATTTTTTAAAAATGGTGGAATCCTAAGAGCTCTTATACCTTTCTAAGCCCGAGAACTTCAGCAGACTCAGAAGGTTGTAACTCTACTTAGGATGGCAGCGTAATTGTTTTTTCTTTGATTGTTAACCCCCATGAGCAGGTCTCTGGAGAAGCACAGTTCCCATTCATTCCAGTGGGGCACACGTAGCAGAACTGCCCCACAGATTGAACTTCAGCTGCTCTGGTGGATTGCTCCCTTTTTATTTTTTTATTTTTTGGTAAATATTCCTATATTTATGCGATTAGAACTTTTACAAGCTTAACAAAAAGTACAAGAAAAAGATATTGTTAATCCCATTAGCTACAAAGAGCAAGTCCTTAAATCTATGCAATACAAATCTATTCAATACAAAATAACCAATTCTCAATTAAAACATTCCATACAATCTAACATAAAGTCCAGAGCTTCCTATCTGCACAGCTGCATGTATCTAGCTTCTTCTATCAACTACAGTAGAACAATTAGACGTATCTTAATATACCTTCTGTGACCTGTTCTTTTGGTCGATGTCTATTCCAGTGTCTAATAAATGAAGTCTAATGTCAGTACATTTCTCCAGTGTCAAGCACAAATTCAACCTTCGCCTGTCCTGTGGCCTGTGTGTTGTACCATGTACTGATCCCACATTCACCGCGCTGCTTTGGATAGGAGCTACACAACTGCTGCATAACCAGAGATCATCGATGTGATGGATATTTCTCTAGATTCCCAGCACAGTTTATTGCATTTTAAAAATCCTTGCCAAAGGCTCAAGGCGCGACCCAAGAAGTATATTTCAAAAATAATGTGAAGCACAAATTCAACCTTCGCCTATCCTGTGGCCTGTGTGTTGTACCATGTACCGATCCCACATTCACCGCACTGCTTTGGATAGGAGCTACACAACTG